TAAATAATAATTATAATATTATGCTCTACTGTGTATCGAGCACTGTAAAAATAAATGCTAAAGAAATCTGGATTAGAAATCGGACTGTTCTTTTTTTCATTTTGATATATATATATATATGCTACATTTAAAAAGTTTGAAGTCACCCCCAGAATTAACATGGGATGAACTTGACCGAAATGTAAAAATGAAAGAAAAGAGTTTTAAGAGTTATTGATAAAAAAAACAAGAATGGAATATATTATCAAACTTATACTTTGAGAAACTTTTGCAACACATGCCATAAAATCGTGCTGCAGTAATCAAGGGTAAAGAAGAATGTTTTGATGAGAGCAAAATTCAATATTATATTGTTATTTTTTATTTTTGTGATAATATAATTTTTAGTAAAAAGTCATGTCTTATTTTTTAAAACGATATATAATGATTTTCTGTTATTTAAATTACTAAACAATACTTTTGGGGTCGATTAAATAAAATTACCAGTAGTCGCCTATGAGAGAGAGAGAGAGAGTGTGTATCTGTGGTGGAGTGAGAGAAAGAGAGAGCAGTAGTCGGTTAAAAGGTCTTGGCGCGGAACTAGAATCATATAAATACCTCAGAAAAATGGCTAAAGTCAGTTTTCTTCTATAGTTTGGCTTGCGCGGGAGTTCAAATGGTAGACATGGATTTGTTTTGCTTTAGGATGTGAAAATATGCGTGTGTTTGGTTTGCGCGAGAATAAAAATGGCAGACGTAGAGGTCTGACTTGCACAAGAAAGTATTTTAATTTTTGTCGACATTTTACTTTGAAAAATTGTTTTTTTTCTTTCTTTCACCTTTCTTGCTTTCTATTAACTCTAATCAAGTTTTCTTTCTTTGTCTTAACCCGTGTCGACATCTTACACTGTCATTTTACCCTCTTCTTTATTATAAACCTTTCAGACACTTCTTTCTTTTTTCTCTTTGTTTCAAATTTCTCTTTTCTTCCTAAAACTCTTATCGATTTTTTCATTCTTTCTTTGTCGACATTTTACTTGTTATATTTTTCTATTGTTTTTTATGAGCATTTTTCACTTATCTTTCTGTATTTCTTTTCTTTGTTTTTCTTTCTGATAACTCTTGTCGATTGTTTCTTTTTCTTTCCTTTGTGTTTGTCGACATTTTACTTTTATTCTAATAACTTTTGTAGAATTATTTTCTTTTCTATTTCTTTCTTTGCTTTGAGTTTGTCGACATTTTACTTTTATTCTAATAACTTTTCTAGAATTATTTTCTTTTCTATTTATTTCTTTGCCTTGAGTTTGTCGACTTTTTACTTTTATTCTAATGACTATTGTAGAATTATTTTCTTTTCTATTTCTTTTGTTTGTCTCAGCACTTGTCGACATTACAATTTCTAACTTTGTGTCCTTCCTTTTCTTTCTCGAGTCTTCTAATTTGTTCTTACTTCCATCATTTCTTTGTTTTGTTTTGTCGACAGTTCTTTTTAAATTTCTCCCTTTCTTTCTGTCTTTCTCTGTCTTAAATTTTTTCGGCATTTTAATTTTGCACTTTCTTCCATGTTTTTCATTCACCTTTTCGACTTTTCTTTCTCTCTTTTTTCCCTTTTCCTTTCTGCTAAATTTACACTTTGTACTTCCCTTATCGTTCCTTTTTGCCTCCTTCTCTTTCTTTTATTTTCTTTCATTCTTTTATATATCGTTTCTCCTCTCCATTTTTTTTATTGTGCTTTCCTTTAATTTTAGCTAAGCTCATAAAACCTTCTTCTTGTCACCCTCGACACCCCTTGTGTCAGCATCTCTCCTGATAGACGTCTTCATTTGTAGTATTTGTCCTCCTCTTACTGAAATGTCACGCAAACTAGAAATTAATTCGCGTCAGTTTTAACGCTTCACACGTTATCTCGTCTAATGATCTGCCTTCCATCTATAAACAGAAACAAGATCTATTTGCAGCTGGTTGACGTTTTAACGGGAAGCATTTTCATAATTCCACCGGGGTTTGGATTCAAATAATGATCGTTTTCTTGCTTTTAGGCCTATATGTTCTACGTCCTTGGTACTGATTCACACACAATCGTAATATTACGGTTAATTGAAATCGCAATGCTTCGCTTTCTTAATTCTACATGGAGTCCCTAACGCCTTGATATAGAGGCACAATATATATATTTTCAAGAAATTAACATTTTTTTAGGGGGGGATTGGAATTTTAACAAATAACATCTTAAATACGATTTTCTTCATTTGTAATGACAAAGTTGATGCGCTTTGCAAGGTTCACGAGAACTCGATGCAATAATGCCACATTATCATCAGTTTTACCACATCATTCGCTTTTTAGGAGTTCAGTTGCATCATTTATTTTCATTGAATAAACCTCTTCTTTAGCATACTCCAGAAATAATAATTTATATAATAATAATAATAATAATAATAATAATGGACTCTCCCGTCGGTTTCGACGTATGAGGATCTGACAGCTTAATTGATTCAGTTATGAAAGTTTGTGCGATAATCTTAATCGCACTTAAGACCCGCTAGTGATTTACAACGGAGGCCGCATATGGAGCAAGAGTGAGGATTGTGGGATGATATCAACTTTAGATTGGCTGACCTTTTAGATCTTGGATAAGAATGAACGAATTAAGCTAAATCCCCAGAAAACCCACACAAGTGATTTGATTAAAGTGATGAAGCCTTGTACAGAACCATCCCAACTTTTCTGAACTATTGATACACCCAGTCAGTGCAAATAAATGCCACAGATGAAGCAGAATATATATATATATATATATATATATATATATATATATATGTGTGTGTGTGTGTGTGTCTGTGTGTGTGTAAATATAGTACAGTTAATGAATATGCCGTTACATAATCCAAGTGGATGCAAGTAATATCAAATATTAAAACTGATCCACAAAAAGAGCTCAATATATTAATTATAACAGAGCATATAAATTACACAACAAAATTCCATATGGGGATAGATCTATCCCTACATGAGGTGATTTTTATTTTGTTGTGTAATATATATATATTTCAACACCATCACTTGATAAGACACAGAGTGTGTTGAAACAAAATGGCTATTTTTGTAGTGATTTTATAACATACTTATGTTATAAATTTTTTTATAAAAATAATTATATATATGTTTCTATATTTCTGTCTATTTCTCCTTTCTCACTTATCTCTCTCATATATATATATATATATATATATATATATATATATATATATATATATATATAGAGAGAGAGAGAGAGATAGAGATACATAGATATAAATATAAAAATTGGTGGCATAAGCGTGAGAACACCTGAATTAAAAAAACAAAACAGTTAGGTAACTGCACGCAGGACAGTCCTTGAAAACGAATGTAGCAACATTTGAAAGTGCTCAAAACAAATCAATATAAACTAAAAGTTAATATTAATTTTGAAGAATTTATCGATAACACAAAATAAGATATTTGGAAATTTGGAAGATTTAGTCAAATTTAGACGGAAGTTGTCCATATGATATAATTAAGCATGCCTGAGAGAATTACTGCTGCTGAAATACACCTATATATATATATATATATATATATATATATATATATATATATATATATATATATATGTGTGTGTGTGTGTGTGTGTGTGTGTGTGTGTGTGTGTGCGTGTGTATGTATGTACATTGGGGGTATGACGTTCGCTTCCTGACCATGATTCTTGGGTTCGAATCTCACCATTTGTCCGGAAGATGACTTCCTGATGTTATCGGTCTGGATCGACTTCGATCCCAGTTTTAGTAACTGAAACCCATACCAGAGGTCACCAAGCCTTGATCACGGTCGGATAACACGCCCTCTCCTGCAACTAAGGTCTGTTTAGCATGGATGCAGTATAAGCAACAGGAGAGCTCTGTGGGTGTTGACAAAACCCAAATGTGCCTGAGCGGGCGTCTGCAATAGCGATTGGCTGGCCGCTCGATTTGACGGACATCCTCGAATACAAGTGGCCAAGTATCCTTATATATATATATATATATATATATATATATATATATATATATATTACGATAAACGTGCAATCAATTTACAAATACATGAATTATTCACACAAAAACTAATGCAAAGGTTAATGATTTAAATGGCGAGACATCCATCATCGCAAACAATTCAAATAATATACAAAAACCTCCGTATCCGTTATGAATGAAATGATCCTTGTTTATATAAATTTCTGTCGTATTAGTTCTTATTTTTACTACAAGCTTTCGTCTGTTCAATAGCATTTTCGGATACAACAATACATATATTTTCGTTGTCCTCTTATTACTAAGAGAAAAAACAAGAACAACATCTATTCTGTACCTGAAGATGTCTGTAGGAACAGACGAAAGCTTGTAGTAAAAATAAGAACTAATACGGCAGAAATTTATATAAACAAGGATCATTTCATTCATAACGGATACGGAGGTTTTTGTATATTATTTGAATTGTTTGCGATGATGGATGTCTCGCCATTTAAATCATTAACCATTGCATTAGTTTTGTGTGAATAATTCATATATATATATATATATATATATATATATATATATATATATATATATTCTCTCAACCCCCTGCTTATTAGAGACATTATCTACAGAGTATTTACTTTTACATATTTTCACACACACACACACACACACAAACACACGCTCATCGCGCACACACACACATATATATATATAGAGAGAGAGATAGATGCATACATATATATATATATATATATATATATATATATATATATATATATATGTATATTTGTCTATCTATCTATCTATCTATCTATCTATCTGTCTATCTCTCTCTCTCTCTCTCTCTCTATATATATATATATATATATATATATATATATATATATATATATATAAATTAATTGATTAAAATATGGTTATTTTCGCTACACAGTTCCAACCATGTTTCAAAAATAGAAGCTAAAAACCCCTAATTTTATTTTTGCAAATAAATTAAAAGCATTAGTTCCATTTCATCTTCAAGCGAATTTTGGAGTAACTTTTAAAATTTACCGGGTTTTAAATACACAGCTAAAATCACGTTTCCATGGTTACAGAATATTCTACTCAAATTGAACACGGGCTGTCTAGATTTTCCTTATGAAAGTATCATTGTATCAGTTATTAGCTACATTTTGGTAAGGGGTGAGGATGTATTTTACTGTTCTTTCTTTTATTTATATATATATATATATATATATATATATATATATATATATATATATATATATATATATATATCCAAGAGGATAAAATCAGTTAAATCAAGATTGATACCAATTTGTCTTAAGATATTTTTATTTGCAAACTGTAATATAGTTTTTTTTTACACCAGAGGAGTATAGACATTAACATAATCTCTCTCTCTCTCTCTCTCTCTCTCTATATATATATATATATATATATATATATATATATATATATATATATATAAAACATGTTATATAAATCGTCAACACGGCGACAGTCGATTTCATGCTATATGAAACAGACTGGCCTCTAAGTGTTGACTTTATGTTCACTTTTATATTTACACACGCTCTATCTCTGATATTGAGCACTTTATCCCATAAATATAGCACACCTTAAGACTATATTCCTTTATATATATATATATGTGTGTGTGTGTATTTCTATTTATCTATCTATCTATCTATCTATCTATCTATATATATATATATATATATATATATATATATATATATATATATATATATCGCATATACTCGATATAGTTATATAGCTAGGTGCCCCAAACCTTCAGTCACTAGCGGGGTCTTGTTTTTGCTCGTCATCCGTATCCAGCAACGCGAATTCTGCATTCGCTTAGGATTGCAGAAATATCAGGGATTGGTCTATAGATCAATGATTTAGTTGGATGTTGTCTCCAAGAGACGTGAAGAATACCTTTTACCATCCGAGTGTAATTCCCATCAAGCTTTGACTCTAGGGTTTAATTAATGTCCAAACAGCGGCACCATGCATTAAATCCGCCTCTACAGCGTCTCGAAAGAATCTCCCTTTGCATGGATTTGGCAGATCAGATTTCCAGATTACATTCACGTTATCCAAAGAAGCCTGGGCCTTACCTATACGAATCTTCGCCTTCTTTTTCAGTAGAATTTATTTCTCTTCCATGTTATGATAAATATTCGACACATGATTTTATTGATTCACCTGAGACAATTTTTTACTGAGTCTTTCCCGAACACGTAACAATGTTCAGAAAATCAGCTCTGGGATGATTAAACAAACATCTAGATTAACTAAATCATCGTCTTATTTTTTTTTTTTAATTTTTATTTAATCGAGTTCACCCCAAGCAATGCAGTAAATCCAACTGAGAAACAAGACGTTCGTTTGTGTGGAAGAGTTAGACACAGGAACAATTTCTAGGCCGCGAGATCAGAGGATGAATAATCAGGGGGCCAATTTTTTTTTTTTTTTTTTTTTGCAGATTAAATTTGGCTGGGAAATATGAACCCGGAAAGGGCGTTCCATAAAAGAGAAGTACAAGAAAATAAAATAAACGGTTGTCATAGAACTTACAGTGACATCTAGACAGCTCAGCGCCAATCTAGTACTGCGATTAAATTAAAAAAAAATCTACGTACCAGAGCTCAGAGCTAGTTACCATGAAAATATTTATAGTAAAGCCAAAGTGAGGTAGACCTTACGGCGGTGGGAAAAAATGACTGAAGCCGAGATGTCAGATCGCGGCTAATAATATTGCTGATTCTTCTTTGGATTTTATCAAGGAGCTCTAGATATACAGCAGGAGCACCGAACTATACGTGCATGGACGAATAGTAAACTTATAGATATGAAAGACAGACTCTGAGAGAAAAAATCCTCTAGCACCACACAGTGAACCAATCGTCCTAGCAGCTGACCTAGCAATGCATTCAATATAGTCTTTCGACTTCATGTCGGCCGTGAGCCTTAACCCAAGAAAGCGCAGCTAGTCACTCTCCTTGAGGTCAGCATCAGCCGTACTGATGGGAGGGCAGGGACGGTTCTCTCCCCTGATTAATAGAGACCAGTTTAGTTTTGTGGGCGTTGGTGCGAAACGATTTAAAAAATTAAACGTTTTGGTCAAATCTTGTTGGGCTAAAAAGAGGTCGGATTATAGGAAATGTATCAGCACATTCAGTTCCGTACTAATACCATTGGGAAAGGTATGAATCATCTTCTTCTCACCCCCCAACCAGCTATGGGTAAATAGCGGGACAGGCCGAGTTCTATAACTTTGGATGGCAACTGGTGTACCGCAGAAAAAAAAGGCAACATACTGCGGGAAAAAAAATCTGCCTCGTCAGTCATATATCGAAAGATACATGATCGCCTAAGCGTGTATCACGCATGGCACATAACTGACTGAAATTCACTTACGTGCTAATACCCTTGGGAAAGGTATGAGTCCTCTTTTTATCACCCCCCACACCACACCAAGCTATGAGTCAATAGCAGGACAGAACGAGTTCTATAACCTTGGATGACAACTGGTCAACCACAGAAAGAAATGGTAACCAGCTGCGGGAAATATATCTGCCACGAAAGATACATGATCGCCTAAGTGTGTATCACGCATGGCACATGACTGAATGAAATTCACTTACGTGACTATACCCTTGGGAAAGGTATGAATCCTCTTCTTCATTCCCCAGCTATGGGTACATAGCAGGACAGACCGGGTTCTATAACCTTGGATGACAACTGGTCTACCGCACAAAGAAATGGCAACCTACTGCGGGAAAAGTATCTGCCTCGTCAGTCATGTATCGAAAGATACATTATCGTCTAAGCGTGTAATACGCATGGCACATTGACTGAAATTCACTTATGTGCTCTAACCCTTGGGAAAGGTATGAATCCTCTTCTTTCCTCAGGTATGGGTACATAGCAGGACAGACTGGGTTCTATATCCTTGGATGACAACTGGTCTACGCACAAAGAAATGGCAACGTACTGCGGGAAAAAAAATATCTGCCTCGACAGTCATGTATCGAAAGATACATGATCGCCTAAGCGTGTATCACGAATGGCACATAACTGACTGACCAGTAGAGTGGATTGGTAGACTCAGGAACTAATGTTAAATATTAATAAAACATTTGAATCAAAACACCGGTTGTATTGAAAGAAGACCATAACATGTTGAGACGCCGGTTTTCGTTCGATCACTGAAGTTAAGCAACGACGAACCTGGTCAGTAAATAAATGAGTGACATCTTGTTAATTCCAACAGCTGTAAGCTTGGGTATACCAGTAGTATAGTTTACGGCCATATCACGTTGAGACAGCGGTTCTCGTTCAATCACCCAAGTTAAGCAACGTCGATACCGTTCAGTACCTAGATGGGTGACCGCTTGGGAATACTGGGGGCAGTAATCTTGGATGTTTGGGTGGTATTGCTTACCGCTATATCACGTTGAGTCACCGGCGCTCGTATGGTCATCGAAATTAAGCAATGTCAAGGTTAGTCAGTACCTAGATGGGTGACTCCTTAGGAATTTCAGCTTGGGTGTTCGTGTGGTATAGTTTCCGCCGTTATCACGCTGAGACACCCATTCTCGTACGATCACCGAAGTTAAACAACGTCCACCCTGGTCAGTAACTAGATGTGTGATCGCTTGGCAAGTCTAGCTGCTGTAAGGCTGTGGGCTGTGTAATGGATAACAGCTCAGAAATGGAAATAAAAAAAATTCGCTCAGTTACCCTTGGGGAAACTATGAATGCACCTCTAAGCTTGTATCAGTAAAAGTCATCTCCAAACAATGTTTATAATCTAGAAATATTTTCTGGCTTTAAATAACCTACAAAAGGTTGATAGACCGTAAAAGCAAATCCATACGTCAAATTAGAGGACATATTGAGGAACAGATGAGAGCAACGAATAACCTATCAAAGGTGTTTGTGTAAATTGTAGGACGAAGAAAGATTAGAAGGAGCAGCAAAAAAAAAAGCTCCAAGGGACAGGAAGTTGTGGAGGGTCGTGTTCACCCGCGTTCCAAAAGGACATGGAACACGGAAGAAAAGGAGTCACATCTATTTGGTAAATTGCTTATCTGTAGCGCATAAAATTAAAATTTTGATGTAAAGAAGCATTCGATATTAGCTTTTACCTCCTTACAATTAATAAACTTCGACGGGACTTGTAGAAAAGATTTTTCGAAACTCAACTCGTCTAAAAGAAGATTAAGATTTTGAACATTTTTTTTTTTTTTTTTTAAGAAGTTGACTGACCATGTAAGAGTGTTACAAAATTCGTATGGCCTTCATAGTTGCTGGTTAGTCGAACTTTATAGAAAATACTGGAACAAAGAAGTTCACTCTATCGCCCGGTTTACGCTCCTTCCCGATCTTTTGAACAGGTGTTGAGGCTTATTACTTGTTCTCAGTCTGAGATTCGGTTACCTGTTCCCTCTAAAGTGTCTTCATTCTCTTTCCCTCCCAGTAGACTCTAGCGTCTTAGTGGCATTATCGCCTTGGTTGCGACCCACATTTGTGCCACTATTCCATGAGAGGACGTTTTACTCATAGTAGATGAACAAGTCCATGTTGCAGTAATTAGTGTAGAGAAAGTTAGTCTTTATTTACATTATTCTGACTATTGTCCTCATCTGTTTCACCATATTATTACAACGTTTCGGCCGTTGTACACTCCAGCCTTCCACAGGTGGTTGGAATGTCGAACTGAACCCTTTATTTTGCTCACTGGGGGAAGACTGTTCAATTTTCACATGCCATGTTTAATGGATGGCAGTTATATCCTGTTAATTCCCCTCTGCAAGTTTCCCCACTAAGGACACATGGCACAGTGGATAAAGGCGTTGGTTCCATCCAGTGACAGGACGCAAAGAGTGTGAGTTCAATACCCGGTTAAGGCAGTAGAGAACTTGCAGACGAAGGAAATTGTTTTTAATTGAGAAAAATAATAGAAAGCTGAAACACACTAAGTTCCGATAGACTGAAAGATATACCGATGACCCGATAAAAGAAAATGACATGTTTAATGGATGTCAGTTATCAGTTATCTCCTGTTAATTTCCCTTTCCAAGTTCTCCACTGTCACTGGATCTAACTAACGCCTTTATCCAGTGACAGGACCCTAAGAGTGTGAGTTCAATACCCGGTTAAGACAGTGGAGAAATTGGAAAGGGGAATTAACAGGAGATAACAGATAATAGACATCCATTAAACATGGCACGTGGAACTAGAACAGTCTACCCCAGTGAGCGAAATAAAGGGTTCAGTTCGATATTCCAACCACCTGAAGGAGGCTGGAACTTACAACGAAGGAAACGTAATAAATATGGCGAAAAAGATGAGGACAATAGTCCGAATAATGTAAATAGTGTACATAATACCTCATCTCAAAAATATAGACAGATACTGAAGTTAGTCCTTCTACAAATTAAAGTGTATGTTGGGATACAGCAGGCGATTATCTCCACTTAAATGGCGATTATCTCCCTGAAGATAAATCATGTGGATCACGTGACGGCCGCTTATTAACGTCATTCCATACAGTTTGTTTACAGCAGCAAAACCGAATGTTTGCTTTTTTAATAAGTGTCAAGTGGCCTTCGCCAGCAAATAATACAGTTTACAAGCCCATGGTGCCTTTTTTCCCTTTGGGAATATATCTTTACCTGATATAGGAAAAAGCTCTGGGTCCCAGTCCTCAATTTGGCAAAACCCCTAGACTCGTCGTTCCCCGTTCGCGGAGTATGTCATCGCCTGGGATATTGTAGATAGATCCGGTCTGTTTTAATCTAGAGTCCTAAGCATGACTCCTCCAGCAACATAGAAGATTTTACATATTATATGTGAGAGACTTTCTTTTTATTTCACCTTACATTCTGCTTGTTGTGTAGATATTTTTTGTGTGAGACATATTTTTATGTGTATATATAGTTTTGTGTATGTCTTACTGTTATAAGAATATCTCTGAGAAAAAAGCATATTTCGTTTCAGTCATTCTGTTCCGTCAATGAACTACAGTGTTATTATATCCTGGATGTAATAATACACATAATGGGAGAAATGCAAATGGGAAAATAAACTTTTCTTACATGGTTCACTACAGTTACAGTGATGACAACGACGCCATATTATTTTCTCGACATGTGATATTAGCACACATTAACTGTTGAACTTTGTGTATTATTATTTTACTTTCTTTAACTGGTAAACACGACGCGATATGAATAAGAGGGGAAATATGAAATGTTAATTTATCTCTCAGTAACATGCTGATAACAGGATAAAACGCACGTGACCTTTTCCCCGCGAAACGAGTCACTATCATACATTGAAAAAAAATGGGACGGCTACAAATAACATTTGGTAAACATAAAAACACGTCCACAAGTATCTTGGAAGTATTTGCTGTTTATCAAATGCGATTTTATTGGTTAAAAATATATATATATATATATATATATATATATATATATATATATATATATATATATATATAAGATTTAATTCCTATAAGTATTGCTATAGCATACATATGGACGATAATCGGTATGTTCCGATTCACATAAATACAGTAGTAAATACTCTATGTTGGTCTGCAGTTGAAGATTCGTCTCTCGGTGTGCTGGTCAAACTCACGCTGGGCAGAGGATCCCCAGACGATGCTATATCGAAGGGCAGAGTTTCGTCTCAGGAAACAGCTATCCGATCCCGTTTCATACGGGGTCCACGAGGAATTTTTGGCCGAGCCTACGTGCTCGGATACCCTACATTAAATTCGGCCTTGCGACACATCTGACCGCGTGGGACGGTTGGTAGATATCCTAGCGCTTAAGATTCGTCTTCAGTTGTCCTGGTCAAACTCTAAGCCGAGGCTCTCTCGAAGGGCAGAGTCTCGTCTCGGGAAACAACTACCTAACCCCGTTTTATACACCCCGTACGACGAAATTTTAGCCGAGCCTATGAGCTCAGATACCCGACATTAAATTCGGTCTTGTGCCAAATCTACCCGCGTGGGGCGGTTGGCAGATATCCTGTAGTTGATTCACTTCTAGCAGTTGACTACTTCTTCTACGTGCTGCTGGTGAATCTTATATGTGTTGTTCTTGTGCTAAGTATTATCTTTCATTTCCAACCTTTGTGTGATCATTCTATTCAGGTTACAGCAAGTATGAAAATACGATGTCGCCATATTTCGGTTTTTGCTTTGCATTATCATCGGATAAAAGCGAAAAGAATTCCCTCGACGACACAAATTCCAAAGTGATTATGATTTTTTTTAAAACGTCAACAGTTCTCTTAGGAAGGTCGACCTGAACATTGAAATATTATAGGCATGGAAAAAAAATCTAAGTAAGATGAACATTAAACATAGTGTTTCTTCAACGAAGTATCGACAAGACATTGTTCAAGAAACAAACGAGTTTGACGCGTTATTTAAAAGTCATTTAAAAGAAGCTGAAAAGAAAGATGGCGTCACGGTACGCTGCTTGGGTAAACAGGCATCTATTCCGCATTCGTTTCATAGCGGAAAACAGTCATTAACAATATTCATGACTATATCTTCCGATTTTATGGACCTGTTCAAGAATTTGGTTAGCTGGCTTCTCGCCATCTGTCTTTCTTTCGTTTTTACGGGATTCATTCTCGGATTACATAATAATCTCTCGGTTTACGCTTCATAGACATCCGTCTGGTTGGCGCAAATGTTGCCAGCGTCATCATTTAAAATGATGTTAGAGAAATCTTAGAAGTGTTCTTTCACCGCCCATTCCGCACCCCGTTCGTAGGTAAGTATATTCAAATAATGGAAAGTCCTTGGAGTTTGTCTCAAATTTTCGCTTTGTTTTGTTCAACATCACTTCATAAGAGGATATCTTAATAATGCTGTCTTTTGTCTGAAATATCTGAATCAACGAATCAAGTATGCAAAATGGCCATAAATGTTTGATCGGGAAACAGCCTGCGTTCGGCAATAGAAAAACATATTGTTATCCCCCATGACACCGCAAAGCCGCATGCAAAAAGACTTACAGAGGAGAACTATTTTAAACATTGGGTTGTCTTTTCTACCCCAGCCGCCATATTCACTTGAATGATAGATTGATTTTTTTTTTTACGATTATCAATCGATTTGTTGGTTATTTAAGGCCGAAGCGTATCTTGGGGATTGTAAGAATAATTTTTGGGCGAGTGAATATTATATTAACAATTTCTTTGATAGTAACAATGATTTTTTTTTTCAGTTATCATTCTATTGAACACTTATCTGCGGCAGGGAGTCGACAGATTCAGAATTCCCCATATATATCTGCATATAATTAAAGGTAACAAAGCCGACTTGAATTCGACCTTGTAACTTTTTTTACGAATAAGTTTCGTAAAGAAAATGGATATGATTCATA